ACCTGCGTTTGATTTTTTATTTATACCACTCTCATTTAATTGTTTTCCAGCTGCCTGTAAGACGTATTTTCAGACGGTACGCAGGAGCTTCAGATATACGCTGCCAGCCAACACGCTGCGTGCGGAGGCTATCTGCTCGGAGTCGGGCCAGAAGAAAGAGGGTAAGACTTTATTTGGTGACTATTTTTCAGGTGCATTGATAGATGTGTTGTGTCCATACGCAGTGCGCTGATTCATTGTTTTTTTTTTTCAGCTGCTGAAAGCGAGGCAGAGTGTGCTAGCAGATGAGGAAGTGGAACTCTGGAAGTCCGCCGTCGTCAGCGGTGTCTCTGGATGGATTGTACGGTCGCCACAGTTTCGTAGGCCGGATCCCTCTGAACTCTGTGTTAAGCTGCAGTCCCGGTTAGAAGCGATGCCGAAGTACAGAGCCACGCACAGTAGGCGTCTGCACATCGGACCTGCCTCGGAGGGAATGCTGCCCGTTACCTCCAACCCCGAGGAAGCAAACGGACCGTTCACGGACTTTTAATTTTTAGAAACGCATGTGTTTGGATACGCGTTGTATATAGTTGTGTGTGTTTTAATAAAGCTCTTTCTTTGCATAAACAGCTTCCTGGCAAATGTTCATTTCCTGTATAAATTCATTCATGTCCTTGATGGTAGCATAATAATTGTGTAGTAGTGTAGGATAACATAAATACACAGCATATGAATGAATAAATATATGAATGAATAAATAAATATATATATATATATATGAATAAATATATATATGTAAATATATATATATGCCAACCAATCACGAGCGACTTTACTTGTTTAAAAAGAAGCGGTTCCGTCCAATACTCAGTAAGAAAATTAAAGCCTGGCGTGGCCACGTGTGGTTTTGCTGCCAATCACGAGCGATTTCATTTGTTTGAGAATAGTGGTTTCAGCCAATACTGAGTAGGTTATTCAAGCCAGACCTGGCCAGCCGCGCGGGTTTGCTGCATTCATATGCTAATTAGGGCCATTAGTACAGCTGATCGCTCTCCACATACGTCACGGTACGTTTCCGACAATTTGTGGCACGACAAACGCGGACAAGCACGGGTTGCAAATTGTCGGAAACTGACGAAAATCAGGCAGATCTGCGGGAGTTTACGGGGGTTTACGGGGACGAAAATCTCACTTTTCATGCAGTGAACGCAATAGTTACTTTTACTAGGAACTAGTTACTTTTATTGTGGAGTAACTCAGTTAGTAACTCAGTTACTTTTTGGGAGAAGTAACTAGTAACTATAACTAATTACTTTTTCAAAGTAACGTGCCCAACACTGGTTCCAATTAAATATGTCTTAAACTTAAATAATTAGAATATTCACAATGGTTATTTTGTGACTGTTCAAACAACTTGGAATCAATCATGCAAAGCAATGTTGGCTTTGGTTTTGCTCGTCATCTAATCCCTTTGTGACTCCTTGATGTTTAGATCAGGGATATGATGGGGGGTTCACCATCTGTTACTTCTTCTTCCGGTCACTTAAGGCACCTTTTATGATCATGGCTGTACGTTTGAAGTCATTTTCATGATATCAGATAAGTTAGAAACAGACCAAAATATTTCACTGAAGACTGATTTACTTGATAATGTGTTTGAATTTTACTGTATTTGTAAGGTAATCGCTCTATATTATGCTTTAGTTACTACTAATGTTAAAATTAATGTACTTTTAATTTGTTTATTTTTACATTCCTTAAGTAGGTGTCCAAAAGTTTTGTCCTTAAGTCCTTTATACAAAGACATGGATTTTTGCCAAAATTATATGTTCTCTGGTGAGTGCTTACATATTATTCATCATTTATCCTGTAAGAATAAGTTTTTGCCTCTATTCTTTAAGAACACTTTTTGTAATACAGGCAAAAATGTATATTGTCTAAAACTGAACAATGTCCATGTTTGAAAGACACATAGATTTATGAACCGACCCTTTAATAAAGGTAAAAAGCCATTCTGCTCTGCTTGTAGCCTTTCTGTATTAGTTTTGACTCGCAAACTTGAGCGCTTAAGGTGCTTTGCCGCTTAGCAGTGCATTGTTTTTTGTAACGTGTTCCAAGCATTGGCTAAATTCACAGTCATGGCATTATTCAGATTACTGACCTCATTTTAAATAGAGAAGCGTTCAGATTATGGTGCCTGCATGAGATTTTTCTTAGATATTGTAATCCAGTTTTACATGTTACAGTTGGCTGTGAGCTTTATGACTAAGGCCCCTACTACTTTCTCTACATCAATAAAATATTTGTGCCAATCCAAACCCCTATTACACTCACCATTTTCAACACAGAGTATTATGGGAGCTTTTTATTTTATTTTATTTTTTTAAATATTTAATCTTTTGACCTTCAGTCATTCTGTACAGCATTGATTTTAGATCAGCCTGTAAGCAACATTGTGAACTAGCAGTGTTTTATGTGTAATCTTCAGCTTTTATTGGATGAACTAGTACACTTTATTGTACTCAAAATGCCACTAAAATGAATGCCCCATTAAAGAACTGCATATTTCCTTTTAATGTCCACACTGCATAATTCTGTGAGATATGCTGCCTATGGTAAATAATGCTCAAACATCACCCTATTGCACATCTCGTACTGTAGCATCAGCGATTTGATACCCTGCTGACACAGAGATTTGGACATGCTCAAAAATGTCACCACTGCTTTGGTAATTATGCAAGTTTTGCCCAAAATCTGAAGCAGTGACCAAATGATAAAAATTAACCTCAGTGAATACTATGCAACCTATTGGCTCTGAAAAGTCACTTGCAAACACAATGCTGATCCCTTCATATGTAAAAATGGAAAGAAATTTAAAGCAGACGTGACATTACATCTAATCTAACATTCACCTGAATCTGTGAGTTCCATACCCTTAATCCAAACATGCACACAATATAAAAAGCAAAGGATCTTTAAAAGCAATCCGTACATTTCAAAACTATGACATGTTTTTATATTCTGGATATCTTAATTTGTGTTTTAATATCATAGCAAGACAAGAAACAGTGAGACATCAGTCTAAGATGTCAAATCCAGTATTACCTCAATCAAAAATTGCAAAACGGTGAATTGTTGATAGCTTGTCAGTAAAGAGTAGATTTTAAATGATTTTTTTTCTTCATAAACCATTTAAGTACTTAAAGCATTCTAATACAGTGTCTGGTTAATCTATACATTCATTACCAGTGCTACCAGTGCTACTTCTTAATGCATTGTCTCCATTCAGTGCATCATCCATTACAGTTGGTTGTTGTATCCATCAGTGCTGCTTCGGTAACTATTGGCTATTTGTTGTGTTATTCAGTAGATTTGAATAGACATCCAGCCATGGTGATACATGTTTCTTTAAAGATGAGTGTGCCACACTAGATCTTGGTGCCAATTAGAGTAATTGTCTCTTGCGGTAGTGGTGGTTTCCATAGTAATCCTTCATGGAATTTAAGTAAGCTCACTGTTTACAATACATTAAGTATTCGAATCAATAGCTTGTAAATAGGTTTTCTTGGAAAATAGCTGTAATCATTTATCAATTAAAAGCCAATGCTCACTAAAGCCAAATATTTAACAGATACTTAAAAAAAAAGATTTTGCTTGTTTTTTTCCCTTCTGATTTATTTCTAGATTTATGTCTTTTTCTTGATTGTCTTGATTTAGTAAGTTTTTCTAACCAAGTAAAATCTGTCCCTAAATTTTGTGCGTTTTTGGGGGTTTGAAAAAAAATATCTGCAGAATAAGGTTTTCTTAAAACACTGAAAGTTGTCAGATGGGCACATAGCTCTTCCTATTTTGAGTGATAAAGCGCGAGCGATCCCCAAATTCCTGAGCATATGCATAGCTAGGTGAACTCTTAAAGCTTAATTGTCATGGTGGGAAGTTAATTGGGTCTTTCATGCTGGGTGCAAGAGAAGGCAAGAGTAGTCTTTTCAAGATGTGTTACATACAATTAGAATAACTACTGACAACAGTGGCTGGACAAACTCAGTAAACTGAGAACTAATCACTTTATTTTGAAGTGTTTGCATCAGTGATACTGAGGGAAAAAAATAGTTACAGTGCACTGAAAAGAGAACCTGAAAATGTGACAGAAAACTTGTCCTACACATGCAGTATGTTTAGCTTGAAAAGGATTCTGTAGTGCTGAACAAGTGGCAGAGCTGGAGTTAGATTACCTTCTCAGCTCTTTCAATGAGGGTCTCCAAGTATCTCTCAAGAATTGAGTGTGATTCATCTTCGCTACATAGAATATTTGCATGACAAAGTACCATCTGTGAGGCTCGGTCATGCATTTATAATGTTTCCTATTTCTTTACTGTCTCTATAGGCTTTTGCATCCATCACTAATTTAACAAACCGGAGGTTCAATGTACTGTTGAGGAAATCGAGATACGACTCCAGCTCTGTGTTTCTCATGAGCTGCTGCTTCCCTAACGTTTCTATTTACTCATCTTTGTCTCTTGGGTTCAACAATTTTGGGATGTTTTTTTTTTCTTCATAAAATCAAACTTACTTTGAACTGAGAATTTGGTTTTTATTTCAGACCAGTTTCAGAATTCACATCAGGGATTAGTCTTGTCCTGGCCAAATAGATTATTTTACAGTGTAATCTGCAGCTATGAAAAACTGCAACACAGTAAAATAAAAAAACATCAAAATGCCCTAATGTTCTAATTATTTTCCCCTTTATTACTCTTTTAATTTGTATAGCCTTTTTTACTGTTTGCCTAAAAAGGTTATTTTCGTAACATTATAAATTCTAAACTGTAAATAATGCTTGTAAAAAATCCTGAATATTATCCTCCAATAAAGTTAGCATTTACCTTTCATATTGATTAATTTCTCTCCTTAATTTTAAATTTGTAAAAAAATAAAAAAATAAAAGAATAGGACTGCTGCAGATCTGTATTAATATTGTAATACTGTACCAGTATTATTTACTTGGTGTGTTTTATATTTGCTAGAGATCTCTGGGAACTCTGAGGACATCCCTCTGGTGCGCTGGCGGCAGCAGTGGCTGGAGAATGGGACACTTCTTTTTCACATCCACCATCAGGACGGCAGTGTGAACCTACCTGAACCAACTGAAGACCCCGCCAACGACTCTTCGAAGGAAGAGATGCGCATACTACACATCTCTGTGATGGTAAACAGATTTATGTCGGAAACTGATAAGGATGAAATAGAAATTACATCCGATTTCTAAACTACAATGTGTTCTTTTGGCACATGTTAGAGATCTAAACATAAATGAAAGGGCTGGATCTATCAAAGGTTTGCGTGTATAAAAACGTGAGTTGTTTCACTGCGCACGCTAAAAAATGTACAAACTGATCTATGAACGGCGTGCTAAAAGGATTTGGTCTTTAAAACGTGCTAAATAGCGCCTCTTATCCATTTAGTACTTTTTCTGCAATGAATATGCAATAATGGGCGTTTACACGCAAAAGTGCGTCTTGTGGGAGGAGAACATGTAAATATATTAATTTAGCACTCGCAAAGTGATTTATTAAACCTGAAAGCAATTTTGCTAACGGTATCTGACTCTATATTTAACACGTTTCAAAAGAAGGTGCAAATGGTCTGTATGCGTAATTGCGCACACATGGCAGCGGTTATTGTCGCAAGAAGGAGACATCAAAATGAAGCAAGGAGACGCAGAGAACGCATTTTTTCACTCCGTGTGAATATTTTTGGAATGAACAAGGAAACGATCATCAAAACATATCGTTTATCCAGCATTGCTATTTTGGAACTGTTGGGGGAACTCCGAATGGATTTGGAGCCAGCCACGAGGAGGACCCACGCAATACCAGATATCACAAAACTCCTTGTAACATTGCACTTTTTTGCATCTGGGTCATTCCAGCGTACGGTTGCAGCGAGAGCTGTGATCTCCCAATCTCGTTTTTTCAGAAGTGCTGTCCGAAGTGCTGTCTGACGGGGTCGGGGTTCTCCCCCTGGGCCTGTGGAGCAACGTGCCAAATGCTGCGGGGATGCATACGCGCAGTAATCTCATCCACAGTCACAGGCCAATACAAAACACTAGTTTTTTTTTTTTTTTTACTGCAGTGAAGTAGAAATTCAGCCACATACCACCTTAGGGAATAAAGGTTGCTAATTTATATATATATATATATATATATATATATATATATATAAATATATTTTTTTTTTTTGGGGGGGGGGGGTCACTGTAAGATTTAAATTTCTTAATGCACTAGTTTGCACAGACTACAAACTACTTTGCCGCAAACCACAAAACGCGCAAAACCATCATTTAAATAGGACGTCTCCAACAGTTTTGCACCTGCCACCAGTTACGCAATCACTCTTGTTAAATCCCCCGCAAACCATGGTTCAGCCCCTCGCGCAAAATTCCAGTTTGCGAGCGCAAATTACTGCACGCAAAATTGGATCTTGATAAATCCGGCCCAAAATGTTCTCTTAACTTGGTCTGAGTTAGAATAGCTGACACTAAGCACAATTTAGGTAAATTCCTTTGAAAGCTTTTTTTTTTTTTTTCATTTTCCATCTTTTTTTAAACCAGTGTTGTTAAAATCTAAGTTGCACTACACTTTTTAAAGTCCTTTACACAACAGTTTTGTACTTTATTAAACAAAATCCACTTCAAGCAATTGCTTATTTATTTATTGGTTTTGCAACTGAGAAAACTAATCTAATAGCCACAGGAAAAAAAAGTAAATTTTCAGTTATGCTTGGCTTTGAATTTTATATTTTGTAATTTATAATATTTAAGCATTTCTTTCTCTGTAAAATTGTTTTTGAATGTATCTCTATACATTATGTGCTTCACCTACATTACAGGGAGGATGACAAGTAGGGGCATTTTATCTACTTAAAGTAAACTTTTACCCTTTTGATATAAGGGAGATCTGAGATTTTTACAGAAGGACATGAATTTATGAAGTACCAAAACCCAGTGGCTGAGTGTATAATTTTGCATGCACACACTGTATCAAACCTTATCAGCTCTCTTGGCAGACTAGGAAATGAATCCTTAGAACTCTCCGCTTCCTCCTCTTGCCCTGAGGAAATGTATATTTATTAGATCTAAGATATGCCACACCTATTTGCAGTGCCCTTTTCTTGCCCAAAGACATTACAATCATGCTGTGATGGATGATATATATTTTCAGACATTCAAAGCTTATAATATCTGCATACACAAATGATTAGTCAGCTTTGGAAGACTTTCGCTAAAGGCTACATCTACTAACAGATGCAGTGAGGCCCACTTCAACACATTCAGACCTAATTTAATTCCAACTAGATTTTATTTCCGATGTAACGACAAATAGCTGGCCTTGTCCTATCCCCTAAATGCTCTTCATAAATTTGGGAACATCCATCCACCGAAAATAGAAAACAGAATGGTGTAAACATGTCTCAGTTGGAATATGAGGCTTTTCCACTGTGGTCCTTATCTTGTTGAATTTTCTCTATCTGTGTTTCACATCCCATCACCCTCAGGTTGGTGTCTTTGTGGTTCCTTACCTGCTAATTTGTCATCCCTAAAGCACAGTGGGGGGCAGCAGCTCTGCAAAAGGTGTTCTGTGAAGGTGTAGTCAGGCAAAGATTAGCATGCAAATTCAAGCAGACTGCAAGGACAGATGGAAGCTGTGCTACCACTGGGCCGCCCAGGCTGTGATGCAGCCTGCTACCTAGCTGGAGGCCTCGACCTATAAATCCTAAAGCCGTGTCACTAGTTGGGCTTCTTGTTGAATCAGAAAAGGTCCTGGGAACTCTGAGCATTTAAGCTGAGGCTCACATGTCACTGAAAGTTTTGAAAGGAATGCAACAGGATGTTGGGAAAAACCACAAGATATAGTCATATACAAATATTAAACAGCATACTGTTGTAAAATATCCAACTTTTGCCATATTAACATTCTCCCAACTCTTTAGGTATAGTGTACCTATGATAATATATCAATGCAATAATATCGCTTTTTAATAAGACTATTTTTAGGTACTTTTAAAACCTTTTGTATTCCCTCTTTTATAAAAAAGCCATAAATAAATCTATGACAAGAAATTTGGAATCCTCTGTAAAGCGTGCAAGATTGCAAGACTACGTATATGATCTTAACTTTCACTGGTAAAACTTTATATCACTTTATCATATATTGTTACCTTAATCCATTTCCTCATTTTCATTATACAGTATGTAAACAAGTTTGTAGACCTTCATAGAGCTATTTGTATCATTTAATGTACAAATCACTGTTTGAACCAAAACAGTGCTTTGGACTCACATGTTTCTTATATGTAGATAGAGGCCCATGTTTTATGCCTTTGCCACAAACTAAACATGGGTTTCTTTTTATAATAGGAAACACTGATATCACCTCAATATCTTAGCCATGTCATTTCTCATTATGTATATATTATCTCATGTTGGTGTGTTTTATTTTTTTTTTACTGTAAACCAACTAAACACAAAATCGATTAAATAAATGTAGTTGAAAATTTTTTTTACACTGATTAGCAGTCTAGCATTGCCTCCATTGCAGCTTATGGAGGTAAAATCTGTTTTGCTGTTTGGTAGTTTTTTATTTTTTATTTTTTTATTGGTGCAGTTTGAAAGGTTCACATACAGGTACATCTCTGTTTTTTTAACATCACTGTCTCCAACAGCCCCCTGGCTTTTAGACTTCTTCACGTCAATACATATTTCTAACAAATAAGACTCAGTAATGCTGTGTCATTAATATATGCCTCTAATCTTCAACCATTTTAAATCTTATGATTTGCTGGATTTGGCTTGTCCAACAGGAGCCCCTGCAGAGGCATGTGGAGTCTTGAAGTTTTTTCTTCTGAAGTATTGGCTCTGTACAAAAATAGGAGAACAAAATCAGTAAAGACTTTCTACAAAATTACTAAATTGTTCCTGACATGATGGTTACTTGTTTTGGCTGCCATACAGTATTCAAAGGTGTCAAACTGAATAAAAAGTTCATCTATGAAAGAAAAAATTGCAATAGTTGAAACCACGATCAAAATTGCAATTCAACTGTTCTTTCTTTCTTTTTTCTTTTCTTTTCTTTTCTTTTCTTTCTCTTTCCTGCCTGAATCTTGCTCACATGGTGCAGAATTGCCAGGAAAATCTTATCTTCCCCAATTGACTGCCTGGCCATCCTTGCCATCATATTATTCATAAATCGAATCATCAGTTGAATCAGATGCCCTGGATTTTAAGACTTGCAGAAAAGCCAGACATTTCATTGGCCCAAATTAAAAGGGGTATCAGGTTCACTAGACTAGACAGAAGTCTGGTTCTGAGGCAGGAAAAGTGGATCTAATTGGGTATTTGGGACTGTTTGCAATATTATGAATAGATTTGTGTCATTAATATATGCCTCTAATCTTCAACAATTTTAAATCTTATGATTTGCTGGATTTGGCTTGTCCAACAGGAGCCCCTGCAGAGGCATGTGGAGTCTTGAAGTTTTTTCTTCTGAAGTATTGGCTCTGTACAAAAATAGGAGAACAAAATCAGTAAAGACTTTCTACAAAATTACTAAATTGTCCCTGACATGATGGTTACTTGTTTTGGCTGCCATACAGTATTCAAAGGTGTCAAACTGAATAAAAAGTTCATCTATGAAAGAAAAAATTGCAATATTTGAAACCACGATCAAAATTGCAATTCAACTGTTCTTTCTTTCTTTTTTCTTTTCTTTTCTTTTCTTTCTCTTTCCTGCCTGAATCTTGCTCACATGGTGCAGAATTGCCAGGAAAATCTTATCTTCCCCAATTGACTGCCTGGCCATCCTTGCCATCATATTATTCATAAATCGAATCATCAGTTGAATCAGATGCCCAGGATTTTAAGACTTGCAGAAAAGCCAGACATTTCATTGGCCCAAATTAAAAGGGGTATCAGGTTCACTAGACTAGACAGAAGTCTGGTTCTGAGGCAGGAAAAGTGGATCTAATTGGGTATTTGGGACTGTTTGCAATATTATGAATAGATTTGGTTAATAATCATGTAGCTAATTTGAATGAATGAAGCTCAGGGAGGTTTGTGTGAAATCTTTTTGTTATCAGTTAGTCTCCTCATACCGTACAATGTTCAATGCTTTTTCCTTCTGCCTTTATATAAACTAGGAGACCACAATG